AGGTCTCTCCCATCTCCCGGTATCTGCTTCTCTCCGCCCATCTCCAGGCTTCGCTCCCCCCACCTCTGCCACCACCCCCTGCCCGCTTTCTCCTTCCCCATCCTGCTGTGAGGTCAGAATCCTATGCTTACGACACCTCGGTCTGTTGCCATGGAAACAGGGGCGGATTAAGGCTCGAGCGCAGGGATCAGGCCCCTCCGCTACCTGAGCTCCCGCCTCAGCTGTTTCCCGCAGGGCGGGAGCAGCTAGCATCAGGCACCAAGGCTCAGCAGCCGCCGGGCCGAGGCAAGGGATAAGGGAATCCCAGCGGGGCGCCACAGCTAGCACACTGGGACCACAGCGCAAAGAGACACACAGAGGTGGGGAGCAGAGAGTAACGGGTCCGCGGGCTCACGTGTGGTCACCTGCCCTTTCTGGGCCGGAGGGACAACACCTAGAATGGCAACCACGTGGGGGCGCGGCAGGACTTCCCCGGCACCCGCGCCAACTTTGCTCTGTTCCTGCTGCCGGGGAGTCTGGGCGAGGTGGTCGCCGAGCCAGCGCCCGTTAAGTTGAGCCTGGCTCTGGGCGTGCACACTGCCAGCATGGCCTTGGCGGTTGCGTCCCTCTGATCCAGGCATTAGGAAAGTTTAAGGAACCGGACTTCTGGCACTTGCCACTCCCCACCCTCGGCCACTGAGTGCTCAGGGCAGGTCCCTGGGGATAAGGCTAGGATGCTGGGAAGATGCCTGCGTTCCGGCGCGCCTCCGGAGTTAGGAACCGTGGTGAGCGCCGGGGCCTCGCGGTGACTGACCGCTGCCTGCACCCAAGCGCGGGTTATACTCGGTGCTGAAGCAGCAGAAGCAGGGCCGGGTGCCCGCGCAGGGGATGGAGCCTGCAAGTGCAAAACTTTATAATGGCTAAGCAAAGGTCCCAGGAGGCCAGCTCCCTTTTTATCAAAGGTTTCTCACTCTGGTCTCTGCGTCCTCAAGACAGATCCCTGAGGCCTGGCCATTCGATCCATGAACAAACCCGATGTCTCGCAACAGGCCACCAAAGGGAGCTCAGCTCCAGCAGCAGGCGCACGGCGGGTGCCTAGCCAGCCAGCCAGCTAGTGGGGGACTGCTTCCGGGACCCATTTCCCTGGCGTTCGACGGCTCCCGGGGCTCGTAGCTCGATCTGATTCTGTGTAACCCAACTTGCCCCTGAGGTTCCAACTCACCTTTGCGAAGCATGTTGGCCGCGGGGCCGCCGCTCCGAGGTCGGCCTAGGCGCGCTCCCTCCTGGGGTCCAGATTCAAATCCCTGGGCGCCAGCTGCAGCTAATCCGAGCGCGTCGAGGCGGGGGCAAGCCGGGAATCCGCTTGTGCCCGGCGGCCGGGTCCCGCAGGAGCATGGTGAGCCCAAGCCCGGCGCCCTGGGCACCGGCGCCTGCTAGCAACCCCGGCGCTGCCAACCAACGCGGTGCGCTCGTTCAGCTCCGGGGCGAGAGGCTTGTTCCGCCGAACCGGCGGCCTGATTCTGCCTCCCCAAACACTTTGCAGGCGGTTTTGAGGGGGGACGCCGCCCCCTGGCCGGCCAGCCGATGTTCCCCTCTTCCCCGCCCCCTCGGGCAGCGGCTGCTGCAAAAGGGCGCTCGCACGCACAGCCCAGCTCCGGGAAAGCGCCCGGCGCGCGTTTGCAGGACCGAGCGATCCGCCGAGCGGGGCGCCTCCCTTCCTCCCCCCGGCTTCCCCCACCTCTCTTCCTCCTCCCTCCCTCCCTCCCTCGCTCTTCAGCTCCCTCCCTCCCGCTCCGCTCCCCGCCCCCGCTCACGGAGCGCCTCCCATACAAAATTTATGAAAGTGCTCTCAGCTCGCGGTGCGGAGCGCCGTCCTATTCCCAGGGCAGCGGCGCTCAGCCGTGCGGCGCCGCCTTCCAAGGTGTTTTCGCGGCACTTGCCCCCGGGGATGATCCTCGGCCCGCGTCCGTCCAAGTACCTGCCCCAGTCCTCGGCGGGTCGTCGGGCCACTGGAATCGCCCTCCCCGGCCCCGCAGGCTTCTCCGAGCACGCACCCGCAGCCCAGCCCCCGCCTGTTTGCCCTTCGCGGCTGGAGGTCATCAAGAGAAGCGCTGGAACCGTGTACCGGCCCTGAGCCCCGATGACAAGTCCAACACCCTTGCCCGTCTCCTCCCTGACCCGTGTCCCTTCCTTCCTGTAGGCTCGACGGCTCTTCCCTGCCCAGAACTGCTCAGGCGACATAGCCGTCCCCCCCCCCCCTCCAGAGTTCTTTGGGGAGACCTGTGCGGGACAGCTAGCATTCGGGGATGTCTAGTTGGAAATCATATAAAGAACTATGAGAGTTCAGGTGGGCTATCTGTCTGGAAGGTCTTCGGTCCCCTGTAGTCCTACACAGACCCCGCCCATGAGAGGATTCTCCAAACAGGGAGGAGGTACCGCCTGGAAAGCCGGTCGGTCCTGCAGGGGCCCTTTGGGCCAAGTACGGAGAAGGTTCAAGCCAGCAGAGATCCTAGGTGGAGGCCGGCACCCCCTACTGGCCTGGGATAAGAAGGACTCCCTAAGAGGAAAAAGATGGCCAGGTCACTCGTTGAACATATTAAGAGTTCTATGTATTCCACTATGTGAAAATTCAGCCAGTGAAAAAGAGAAGGTCCTCATCCTCCTTAAATTTATATTCTAATAGGACCAAAAGAGAGAAGTTCAGATAATGGAAATGTCTAGAAGAAAGACAAGCAGGGTGTTGCTCTGGAGCTGATCTGGGATGCAAGTGGGGTTTGGGGTGGGAGTGGAACTGATGTGACAGCTGCCATCTAAACAGAGCTCTAAGTTCTCTGTGGAGTAAACTTGGCGGCGCGATAGGAAGATCAAAAGCAAGGCCATTATTTATGCAGGAATACAGATACTCAGAACCCTAAGCCCTACCCCCCCACCCCCCACCCCCGTTGATCTGGGTGTAAGGGAGAATCAGAAAAGGTGCTCTTAAAGTCTGGGTTCAACAGGTAGAGAGGAAAGACCACCTGAAAAGGACAGAATGCACAAAGGAGCTAGGTTCCTCTAGGGTTGGGAACTCTGAAACATTCCTAGCTCCTGCTAGCTGCAGGACTCCACTGACTCTGCACCACTTGAGCCCTGGAGGACCAAACTCCGGGACAGAGCTGTGGAGCCAGAAAACGAAGGCCCAGAGAGGCTAGACAACTTGCTCAACAGCACCCAGTAATCAGTACTAAACTGTGGGACTGGATGAGGGCCTTGCTATTCATTTTCCCACCTTCCTGTGCCGCCTCCCCATGACCCCTTGCCCCATCATTTCCAATATATTGGGCAACCTTGGGCGGTGTGAGTGTGAGAAGCAGTTATTTTGGGATTTAGGAGGGCTGGATCTTGACTTGGAGTCCAGCCAGGGGCTGGGGGTGGCTGTCGGTGGGTGTTGTGGTGTAATGGGGGAGGGGGTTACATTGAGCCTGCCTTCTCATCAGGCAGTAATTACTCAGACTGCTGAGTAACTCAGGAAGGGGGACCCTCACAGACAGAAGTGTCCTCAGCCCAAGCTGATTGACAGTTACCACTGTCTTGCTCGATAAGGTCTTAGGGACACAATCATGATGGTTTTGTGCACTGCAGTTTTCCTCTGTATCATGTGGTTTCCTAAGTGGGGGCAGGGCTGCTCATGTGTGACAGAGCTGTACAGCAATGTTAGGAGATGGTGCATACCTCTGACCAGCTAAAGGTCCCTGGAGATGAGACAGTTGCTGGGAAGAAGCCACTGGGCCATTAGCACATCAGTCTTTCCACCATAGAACTTGAAGGTAAAGCTAGAATGGTCCTGACCAAAGCAGACTAGGTTTTGGTATGCTGAGGTGGCAGCGTGGGCTCCAGAATGCACTGAGGGGTAGGGATGTCCAGAGAAGCTGGGAGACACAGGAAACCCAGGCTGGAATTATTAAGGTGAACGATTGCTCCTTGATGAGGACATTCTGGGTCAAGCTATACCTAACTTAAGAGTTGCAGAGACTGAAGGGGCAGTGACCCTTTCCAGCCCTTCCCTTGGCTGCTCATTCCCAGTCTGCCTTGCTCTCTCCTCTGAGCAGCCTCCCAGGCAAGGCCTGTACCTGGCTGCTTGTTTTTACATCTCTCTGCACCTTAATTAGGGGTTTCCAAGCAGGGAGGGCCTCCAGGGGAGCCTGAGGCCACAGAGCTGTCTTAAAGGGACAGCTGTGCTCACCACTGCAGAAAGAGGAGGATAGGAGTGGGGGTTCAGAGTGCTGGTGACCATTTTTTTGCGGAAGGCTGAGGGTAAGACCCGCAGGTGCTTTGTTCTTCCAAAGGTCAAGGCTGTCTTGCTGACTGCTCTGCCTTCTCTTTAGGGTCCCAGGAGTGCTGTCCACTCATCAGGAAAAAGGCTATAGCCTGAAGGACAGACTAGAGAGGGCAAAGGCTTGCCAGGACTCAGGAGGTTTGGGGAATTGAGGCCTCAGGCTGCCCTATGCTTCCAAAAAAGCCTTTTTAGTTTCCAGCTTCTCCTTTGAGTACCAGCTTCCTCTATTTCGACCCTCCACATGATGGGTACATAGCGATCCACACCAAGCTTTCGGCTTGGGAGCTGGGTTGATAGGTGTTAAGGTTCCATCTTGCTGGGACAGCACAGTTCTCTGAGGTAGAGAATGTGCCCATGTCAGCTGACAGACTACACCTTACAAGGAAAGAAACAGGGTGAAGGTGGGGAGCAACAGGAAGGCCCAGTAGGTCGGTAGGTCGCAGAACTCCTTTAGGCACACTCATCTGGGAGTAATAACTTTGAACTAGGCTAGAGAAGAGCATGGGAGCAAGGGGGATCACTAGGGAACGCCGAGAGGCTTGAGAGTCTATACCTTTTGTACCAACTGGTGCCCATTGTAGCACCGCCCTCAACTCTTTTAGTCTCCGCCCTGCTAGAGTCTCCGCCCTCGGCTCAGAGGCTCGGCGGTCGATTGTGCTGTCTGTGCTCTCTGCGCTCTTCCAGCGCTGTCTTTTTGTATCTCACGTGGACTCTCGGGTGATGGCGGCGCTGGTTGTGTCCGAGACTGCGGAGCCAGGAAGCCGAGTCGGCCCTGGCAGAGGTGGGTGCAGCAATGCTGTGACCTCAAGACCTCGCATCTCGGGTGGGATCCTCAGGGCGAGAGGTGACTCCTTTCTCCTTGAGACCCGAGAGTGTCATGCTGTTAAAAGTTCTGAGCTCTCACCACCAGAGACCCAGGGACTCGTCTTTTCTCTCGGAAAGACAAAAACTGTCCCTCCTGGAAGTTTATTTTCCTAAAGGCAAAACTACGCCCTATCCCAGCTAGCAGACAGACCCTGGAAGAGTGACAGAATAGAACAGATCTGACGGGAGGGAAGGGACCCCGGTGCGTTTTACAAGTGGTCTCGTTGGATATGCTTTTATTTAATACGAAGAGGAGCTCGGTGTCCTTTACCAGGCACTAGCCGGCGCCCAGTAAATGCCAGCGTTGTGCTATGTATAGGGACTAGAGAACTATCCTGGCCCAAGGATCTCAACTGGAGGGGTGGGGCATACAAATTCAAACTTGTCAACCTTAATAGAGGAGGTGCCTACCGTTCTTCATGCTAGCGCCTGCTGTGCCCGAAAGCCCACGAGAGATTTTAACCTGTGAAGAGATTTTGTAGGGAAGCCGACGAGTCTAAGCTCGTTGTCCAAGGCCATGAAACTGACCCAACGCTTTAACAGTGGTAATATTGAAACGTGATGTCAGGACCCCAGCTTTCCAGGCTATAGAGTTCTTCAACGCACCCCTCTACCACAGTAGATAAAAGCACAGGTCTGGGAGGATCCCTCCTATTCATAGGAGCCCTAGCTAGAAGTTCGCATAAGGCCGGGCGTTGGTGGCCCACGCCTTTAATCCCAGCACTTGGGAGGCAGAGGCAGGCGGATTTCTGACTTCGAGGCCAGCCTGGTCTAAAGAATGAGTTCCAGGACAGCCAGAGCTATACAGAGAAAGCCTGTCTCGAAAAACAAAACAAAACAAAAGTTCACATAATACAGGCGCACAGGTTTTGTAGGTATGGGATGACTACATTTGTCTTTTCCAAGCGTTTTGGCTCTTAGTGAGATAGATATTGTTGGGTAGAGTGGGAAGTCCAGGATAAGGCCTTGCTGAAGAGCCTCAGTTTGTGGTGTGTGTTTGTGTTTGAGACAGAGTTTCTCTATGTAGCCCTGACTGTCCTGGAACTGGCTCTGCATATCAGGTTGGGCTCGAACTTGCAGAGATCTGCCTGCCTCTGCTTCCCCAGTGCTGGGATCAAAGGTGTGTGCCACCACTGCCCGACAGTATTTTTTTTTCCAAACCAAAAAATGAATTAGAAAATTTTAACAATATTTTATATTATGTGTCACAGTGCCTGTGGAAGTCAAAGAGTGAGTTTCCTCCCTCCATGTGGACCATGAATCCTTTTACCATATGGGTTCAGGGGATTGAACTCAGGTCCTCAGGCTCTGAGACAGGCACCTGCACCCCTAGTCCTCTTTCCAGTCCTGCTTTTTATTTGTGTGTTTCCATGTATGCACACCTGTGTGCAGGCACCTGGTATTCGATCCCCCTGGAGCTGAAGTTGCAGGCTGCTGTCAGCTTAAAGTGTTTGTAACTGGTCTCTCCAGCACCCTACCTTGATTTTTTAAATTCAGTCTATCACTGAATCTAGAGCTCATTGATTCGGCTAGATTGGGTGTCCAACAATCCTCAGCACAGGGATTACAGGCCTGCTGTTGTGACCAGCTTTTTTGTATGGATGCTGGAGATCTGAACTTAGATCCTCATACTTGTGTGACAAGCACTATACTATACCTTTTCACCAATTTTTTTTTAAAGATTTATTTTTATATAAGTACACTGTAGCTGTCTTCAGACACACCAGAAGAGGGCATTGGATCCCATTTCAGATGGTTGTGAGTCACCACGTGGTTGCTGAGAGTTGAACTCAGGACCTCTGGAAGAGCAAATGGTGCTCTTAACCACTGAGTCATCTTCTCCAGCCCCTCTGATTTTTGTGGTGTCTTTTTTTGTTTATTTTGGTTTTTTTGTTTTGTTTTTTTGAGATAGGATCTCACTATGTAGTTTATTTTGGTTTTGTTTTGTTTTTTGAGATAGGATCTCACTATGTAGCTCTGAGTGGCTTGGAACTAGTTATGTAGACCAGGTTAGCCTTAAACTCAGATTTGTTTTTTAAAAAGCTTTATGTGCTGTGTTTGTATATATGCCTGCAGACAGAAGAGGGTATCAGTTCCTATTATAGATGGTTGTGAGCCACTATGTGGGTTTTGCAAATTGAACTCAGCATCTCTGGAAGAGCAGCAGTGAGTGTTCTTAACTGCTAAGCCATCTTTCCAGCCCAGATTTTTTTTTTTTTTAGAGGAGGGGAGAACAAGGTCTAGTTGGCTTTACTGGTCTTGACATCTTGATCCTCCTGCCTCAGCTTCTTGAATGCTGGGATCATAGATGTACATACCATACCTGGCTTTATTCTTTTAAATGAGGTGAGGGACAAAGGTATGGGTTAAGCAACTCTGGCCAAATCAATGAGACCTGAGTTGTGTGACTCCTTTGCTTTTTAGTCTTTTTGTGTCATCTCTAGTCCTGAAGGGTGAGCCATACCCCCATTTATGACGACTATAATCTCACAGCATAGAAGTTGATTATGCAGATGTCCACTCTGGTTTATGGGCTATCTGTCTGTAGGATGAATTCAGTTAGGGCAGAAGCTGGGTGGATATCCTTTGTGTGTGGAATCTGGGCCTTCAATTTAGAGTTAACAGATTAAGCAGCACTGGCTGCCTGTGGTCTAGGGCAGATGCAGACTCAGGCCTTAATGTTTTTTCTAGGTCGCATCTCTCGGGGGCGACTGGCCAATCAGATCCCCCCTGAGATCCTGAACAATCCCCAGCTACAGGCTGCTGTCCAAGCTCTGCCTTCTAACTACAACTTTGAGATCCCCAAGACCATCTGGAGGATCCAACAAGCTCAGGCCAAGAAAGGTGAGCTCTCAAAGGGTGGAGTTCTAGTGAGGTTGGAAAGTTTGCTTGCCCAGATGTGGGGCCAGTCCTCTCCCAGCCCCTTCTAGCTCTCTGCTTTTCCTCTCTTGTCTTGCAGTAGCCTTACAGATGCCAGAAGGCCTCCTACTCTTTGCCTGCACCATTGTGGATATCTTGGAAAGGTAAGGCTTGGGCACTGGAGAGCAAGCTGAGCCTTTGCCCAGTATAGTTATGCCTGTTGGCATAATTTTTCTCCTCTGGACTACTGGCTAACTCCTAAGCCTCCTACAAGCATGTGTATGCACACAAAGGGAAAAAGTCGAAATAAAATTCCCAGGTTGCTGAGAACTTGGTTTGTCCATTTCCCCTCCCTTATATAGTCTGGGCAAGGGCAAAGAAGTTTTTTGTTTTTTTGTTTTTTTGGTTTTTTTTTTGTTTTTGTTTTTTTTTTTTTTTGGTTTTTCGAGACAGGGTTTCTCTGTGTAGCCCTGGCTGTCCTGGAACTCACTCTGTAGACCAGGCTGGCCTCGAACTCAGAAATCCACCTGCCTCTGCCTCCCAAGTGCTGGGATTAAAGGCGTGCGCCACCACCGCCCGGCAAGGGCAAAGAAGTTAATTTTCCTTTCTAGGCCAGAGCAGATGGTAGCATCTGGGAGGAGCCTAAAAAAGCTAACCCTAAATGGGTGAGGGTCTGGCTGTCAAGGGTTTGGGCAGAGTAGAGGGATGAGAGGCTGGGGAGTTGAAGAGGGTGCTTCTTTTTCTCAGGCTTAGTTTAGGTGGGAGTAGGTGGGTGGCAGAGGTGAGAGATGCCTAGGGAAAGATATTCAGTTCCTCTGCCCCCTCCTTCTAAGTTTCTTCATGACAATGAACCATTGCTGGGGGTGGGGGAGCTCAGTGCTCAGCCATCTGGAGCCAGCATCAACACAGGGAGGGGGAATGCAGAAAGGGGAGGTCATCTCGTGCTGGGAACCTCCTACTTCCCTGCTGCTGCCCTCACCCTTCTCCCTCCCCACCACCATAGACCCACTTCCCCGCTCCCACCCTCTTGCCCCTTGGGGATGCTCTCTGGGGCTCAAGCCAATTTGCATACATTTTAATCTATAAAAAATTAAGTGCTCTGGCTGACTCAGAGCCTGGGCTGCATTCTAAGGAGCTGAATAATCCGCCTCTGTCCACAGCCTGATTTGGGGAAGGGGGTGGAGGAGGGGCAGACTGGCAGCCTTTCAGCCTCCCCCACTGCACCCCAGAGGAAGAATGAGGGAGCCCAGTCACAGAGCCAGCATCTATGCCCAGGTATGCTCTCTTCCTAGGAGAGCTAAGCCTCCTGCTCTGTTCCAGTGGTGAGTTTGGGGGTACGGGGTCCTTTCTACCACCCTGCCCCCTAGTGATTCAGTCCTGGCGGCAGATCTCATAACAATGTGCTGTCCAGAGCCCACTCTTCCTGACTGCATGAGGAGTGTGGGCAGCACCATGTGCTGTGGGGGAGCTGCGCATGGGTCCTCCCCATCCTGGACACCCATGGCCTTACCTATGGGTGGGGAGCTGATGGGGTCTGGGCAAGGGGAGGCCATGCCCCCACATACACCCATGCCTCCGCAAACACTAATGCCAGAGCTTGTCAGGGATCTTTACCTGCCCTGGGTAGTTGGTCACAGTTTCAGTGGTCTGTTTGCACTATGCACATGTACTTCTGAGGGTTAGGGGTCTTGCAGTCTAAGGCTGGACAGGGTGCTGCAGACATATCCTCACATAGCAACTGTTCCAGGAGCTGCTGCCAGAGCTGAGGGAGGTGGCAGATGCACCCCTCCTACTCTTGGTTGGCAGCTGCCAACTCAAGGAGATCTGGGTCCTGAGACACCTCCAGAGTGAGGACTGTCTCCCATCTCTGTGTCTCTGTTACACTGTTCCCCAACCCCATCCCTACAGGTTCACAAAGGCTGAGGTCATGGTGATGGGTGATGTTACCTACGGGGCTTGCTGTGTGGATGACTTCACTGCAAGGGCTTTGGGAGTTGACTTCCTGGTGCACTATGGCCACAGCTGTCTAGGTATGGTGGGCTGGGACACCAGAATACTGTCAGGGAGGCAGGCTGCAGACTGATTTTGTCTACTGTGAATTTTTCTTGTTCTACTTGCAAGCACAAAGTCCCTTCTGGTTTCCAGGGTGGCCTTGGTCTTCCTGCTTTGCAGTTAGCTCTTTCCTTTGGATTTGGCTGCCTTGGAAATCATGCTACTGTCTCAGATGTGCATGTCTGATGTTTTTGTTTGGTTGGTTTGGTTGGTTTTTGAGACCGTCTCACTCTCTAGCTCAGGGAGGCCTGGAGCCTAACAGCTGTCATCCTGTTTCAGCCTCCCAGCTGCTGGCACTATAAGTGTGAGTGAGCACACCTGGCAGATACAGGTGTTTGAAGGGATGTTCCTGGGAGAACAGCCTGGGTACCCATCTAAGATGAGAATGTTCTAGGCAGGCTGAAGCCAATGTTCTGGCTGCTCTTAAGATTGGGACTGGGCCAGGATGCTTGTTCCTCCTTTCAGAACACTTGTTTTGAACTCTTCTCTGTAGTCCCCATGGACACTTCAGTTCAAGACTTCCGTGTGTTGTATGTCTTTGTGGATATCCGGATAGACACTGCCCACCTTCTGGACTCAGTCCGCCTCACCTTTACCCCAGGCAGCTCACTCGCTCTGGTCAGCACCATTCAGTTTGTGTCAACTTTACAGGTAAGTAGACCAGCTAGCATCGTGTGGGATGGAGAGGCTATTCCAGGGTGCTCCTGGCTCCCATGCCTGGTGCTCTGGGCTGCTCCTCTGGCTCCGGCTCCCAGCTTCCCTTCCTTCATTATCAATACAGGCAGCTGCACAAGAGCTGAAAGCTGACTATGGCATCAGTGTCCCGCAATGCAAGCCCCTGTCCCCTGGGGAGATCCTAGGCTGCACATCCCCTCGTCTACCCCAGGAAGTAGAAGCTGTGGTGTAAGTGAGAAATGGGGCTCCTTTGTAGAGACACTCAAAGTACACATACTCAGGGAGAGAGGCTAAAGTTCCCAACCTGTGTGCTCAAGGTCACCTTGGAGGACAGGGCCCATGTGGGGATCACACTTCAAGTTCACTTATACTCTCCAGTGGTCCATCCTTCATCCAGAAGGCTGTGCTGAGGGTGGAGACAGAACTCGGGGCCTGATGGGGGAATCGGGATGGGTAGAAGTGGAGAGAATGTAATTGGAGAAGATGGATGGGCACGCCCAGGCTGCAGCCCCATTAATTTAGCATCCGGACAGCTAACAAGCAGGAGCAGCGTGTCTCCTGCCGCCTAATTATTTTAGGTAATGGAAATGCTTAATGTTGTGTGAATGCAGCCAGCCTCACAGCCGACAGCTCTTCCGGCTGGGACTGGGGATGGGAGTCCTTTCCTAGCTAGTGGCAAGAAGGGAAGGAGGGGCACTGTGACCCAGCCAGACCCTGGGAGCTTCAGGGACTGGTCCCACAGGTTTGGCTACACCCACATAGGATACTCCTGCCCTTAGACCCACATATAGGACTTCCAGAGCCCAGGCCTGGCAGCCCTGCTCCCTGAGGGCCATTCCCCATGTACTTGTGCCAGCATAATGGGTACCCATCATCTGAGGCCTCAAAGTGCAGGTTGAGGGAGGTACCCTGAGTGTTGGCCTCAAAGAGAGTTATGCTCTCCAAAAGAGAAAGAAGCAGCTGCCGTGGGTGACTTATCTTGTAAGCCCTGGACTCTGCAGGTCCTAGGAAGGTACTGTGAGTGAGGGTATCTCTGAGAGTATGTTCTGTGTGGCTTGATGGTGAACCCTGGTATCCAATCTCAGATACATTGCTTGATAGCTTTTGAGCTTTGAGCAAGTGGGTTTTGTTTTGTCTTACTTTGTAGCCTTTGCTGTTCAGGAATTCACTATATAGGTCAGGCTGGCAGGAATTCACTGTATAGGCCAGGCTGGCCTCAGTCTCATAGAGAGCTCTCTGCCTCTGCCTCAACTGCTAGCTTGAGCATATGTATTAAAGTCCTTGAAACTTGGGTTTATCTCCTGTAAGATGGCAATTGCATAGGTGTTTTAGGTACTTACTTCAGGTCTGGGACTCAGAAAGTACAAGAAATGGTTGTTATAACTCCATACTGTGCCGGGTAGTAGTGGCACACACCTTTAATCCCAGCACTTGGGAGGCAGAGGTAGGTGGATTTCTGAGTTTGAGACCAGCCTGGTCTACAGAGTGAGTTCCAGGACAGCCAGGGCTATACAGAGAAACCCTATCTCAAAAAAACAAAACAAAAAAACCTTCTGTACTGTATCAGTGCTGGTGTGATCCAAGAATATCCAAGAATATCCAGTGTGTACCCTGGAACCTCTTCTAAAGCCTATATAACATAGATTTTTAAAATTTATATATTTTTGTTTATTTTGGGTTTCCCTGTGTAGCCCTGGCCATCCTGGAGTTCATCTGTAGACCAAGCTGGCCTCAAACCCAGAGATCCTACCTCTGTCTTCTGTGATATGCTACCACCTTGCTGACCACCACCACTCTTTGCTTATTGCATGAATGTTCTGCCTTTGTGTATGTCTGCCACATGGGTGCCTGGACCATTTGGAGGTCAGAAGAGTGCATCATATCCTCTAGAAAAGTGAGCCATTGTGTAGGTGCTAGGAATTGAACCCAGGTCCTCTGAAAGAGCAGCCAGTGCTCTTAACCAATGAGCCATCTCTCTCCAGTCCTGAACATAGACAAGACACAACCTCTATGTCTTTGTTGAGCTGAATAAACAAGAAACTCTCCCTCAGCTTTCAAATTATGCTCTTGGGCCCAGGTGGCCTTTCTTTGGCTTTGGCACTTCCTTTACTTTTGCCATGGAAGACTGCTGCATTACACAGAGGTATCTCCTAGGCATCTAAGTTCAGCTCCTAGCTGTACATATGAGAGGCCTAAAGAGATGAACTGTCATCAGTTTTTACAGATTCAGCAGCATGGGTGGCTGCGAACTGTCTTCAGGACCTGTAAGCCAGGACACCCCTTTTGCTATTCCATTACCGCACTTATACTTCTTCCCACCCTGCAGGTATCTTGGAGATGGCCGCTTCCATCTGGAGTCTGTCATGATTGCCAACCCTAATATACCTGCTTACCGGTATGGCTGGGGAGGGCTGACTATGTGTGGCAGGGTGGGTCTCTGCCCTGGGGGCCCTCATTAGGCTGTACCACCCCATTCCCTGGCCACTAAATGGCAGGCAGCTCTAACGGAAACACATTTGGAATTTAGACCCAGGACTGCTGTTGCCTACCTGGGAGTTACCCCAAACTCTTAGAATACTCCGTTGCTCTTGCCTGCTGATCTCTGTGGTTACCGATCTCAGTAATAATCCTTGTTCCCGACTAGGGGGCCACTTAGCTGACTCTGGGCTGTCACAGTGATCCTGACAACTTTTCTAGGTATGACCCATATAGCAAAGTCCTATCCAGAGAATACTATGACCATCAGCGCATGCAGGCCACTCGCCAGGAAGCCATTGCTGCTGCACGCTCTGCCAAGTCCTGGGGCCTTATTTTGGGAACTTTGGGCCGCCAGGGCAGTCCCAAGATCCTGGAGGTGAGAGGGCTCAGGAGGAGGGGGCTGACAGGAAAGTAGCTGGAAAAACCAGTAGGCTGAAGTATCTAGCTTTGGCCACTTCATCTCAGAAACTCCTGCTTGGCCTCCTTCTCTCGGCAGCACTTGGAATCTCAGCTCAGAAACTTGGGACTTCCTTTCGTGAGGCTGCTGCTCTCTGAGATCTTCCCCAGCAAGCTCAGTCTACTTCCTGGGGTGGATGTGTGAGTTTCCCCACCTTACCCATGTATGGTGATCAGCTAAAGGGAGCTTAGAAACTAGGTTCTGGCCAGCACAGACTTAAGGTTACAGCCAATGGGAATTGTATACGTGGTGATGAAATCTTAATATTTATCAAGAACTTACCTAGCAGGGGCCACCCTTGACCATAGGCCGCCTACATTGTCTGGTGGGATGAGTGTAAGAGTGCTGTGTATGAACCTTGGTTCTAGGTGGGCAGTTACAAATGAACTGTCCCCAGAAAGCTCTTAGGGGTCTTGGGAGATAGAGTGAAGGGCTGATGACCATTGTTTGATTCTATTAAGGTGGATTTTTTTTTTCTTTTGCATGTGTGTTCGTTTGTGTGGAGCTTTGGTGTCCACCCTTTTTTTCCCCGAGACAGGATCTCTCACTGGAGCTTGCCAAGTCGACTGGCTGGAAATCCACCTGTCTGGAGTACAAGTGTATATCATACCCCCCCTCTTTCACACACACACACACACACACACACACACACTTTTGCTTTTTACTTCACTATGGGTGTTAGGAATGGAACTTGAGTCCTCTGCAAGACCAGCCAGTTCTCTTAACCACTAAGCTATCTCTCCAGCCCCACTTTAGCTTTTAATGCAGTGGTTTTGGGAGTTAAGGTCCTTGGTTTACAGGGCAATCACTTTACAGTTACCTTCCCAACAGTATAGTTGGATCAATACATCCTGTTGACAATATTGAGACACCATCATGTTCTTCAGTGTTGTACCCCAGAGAGAGGTGGCCTTCATGTCACATCTTACTGGCTTACCTTCTTAGGTGGGTGCAGGTGGCATGTCCACGCCTCTCCATTGACTGGGGTTCAGCCTTTCCCAAGCCACTGCTGACACCCTACGAGGTAACAACCACATTTTGAAAATCTGCAGGGTAGTGGACTTTGTACTTCCTGTTGAGGGAGGGCTATGAGATGGCTGGCATGGGTGAGCTGCATTTAGGGTTGTGGGTTCTGAGATTGAGCCACCATCTTGCTTTGTAGTTTTTGTTTGTATTTAAGGCATGATCTTCTAGAGCCCAGGTTGGTCTCAGTTTATGGAGTGTTGGGAGGCTAGAGCCATCACACCTGACTGGGTCTCTTCACCTCACACTTCCTTTCTGAAGTGTAATGATAATACACATCCTTCGTAGGCCCTTGTCAAATTTGCTAATGCAGGGGAAAAAAAGGAATTGTCTCTTCTCCCCTAGGCAGCCGTGGCCCTGAAGGACATTTCTTGGCAGCAACCCTATCCCATGGACTTCTACGCTGGCAGCTCCTTAGGGCCATGGACAGTGAACCACGGTCGGGACCAAGCACCCCGGGGTCTCTCCCAGCCTGCATCGGGCAAGGTAGCAGACTTTTTTTTTTTTTTTTTTTTTTTTTTGAGATAGGGTTTCTCTGTATAGCCCTGGCTGTCCTGGAACTCACTCTGTAGACCAGGCTAGCCTCGAACTCTCGAACTCAGAAATCCTCCTGCCTCTGCCTCCCAAGTGCTGGGATTAAAGGCATGCGCCACCACGCTGGCCTAAGGTAGCCGACTTTAACGAGGGCTGAGAGGCAGCCTACAGGCGTAGCCTTGGCGTGACGTGATCCACGGCCGCCACCCTGAGGACATCGGGGGAAATGCAAGGGAGCCGGGTGGAAGTCGCAGTGGAGACACGTGGATTTGTCGGTTACCTCAGGTGCAGCAGGGGTCGAGAGGCGGCTCTCCAGCCCCGGCCTGTGAGGGCTGCAGCTGCGCAGACCAGAAGGCTAGGTCGCCGGCTCCCTGAGAGATCTGGAGCACCAGGTATTTGCAGCCACGCCCCGCCTTTTTGTTTTAGCAGGGCCCCGCCTTCTCTGAGTCCCGCCTTAGGGGTGTTGCCAGCACAGGCCCTGCCCCCTTACAGGTCCTACTTCCGTTTGGGAAGGCCTGCTTCCGGTCGCTCTGCGGTATGGCGGCTCGGCCGACCCTGAGAGTGCTGTGTCTAGCCGGCTTCCGGCAGAGCGAGCGGGGCTTCCGAGAGAAGACTGGAGCGCTGAGGAAGGCGCTGCGCGGTCGCGCAGAGCTCGTGTGCCTCAGCGGGCCGCATCCGGTCCCCGAGGCAGCGGCTCCAGAGGGCCCAGGGCCAGACTCGGGTGAGACAAGCTGGTCCCCTGAGCTCCCAGTTTTCCTCCCTTATCTGTGTCCAGTCCATACCAGATACCTCCCGCCCCCCAACTCCCCTGGCTGCGTCTTTCCCGAGCTCTGCCTTCTTCCTCTCACTTTCTCTAACCCTGATCCTGTGCTCTCCCATCTGCTTCTAGGGCCCTCTTCTCCGGAGGAGCAACCTCGAGGCTGGTGGTTTTCTGAAGAGGAAGCAGCTGTTTTCTCAGCTCTGGAAGAGCCCACAGTGTGCAGGGGTCTGGAGGAGGCCCTGGAGACGGTGGCACAGGCCCTTGACACGCTGGGGCCTTTTGATGGACTTCTTGGCTTCAGCCAGGGGGCCGCACTAGCAGCTTTTGTGTGTGCCCTGGGTCAGGCAGGCGACCCTCGCTTCCCCTTGCCAAGATTTATCATACTTGTGTCGGGGTTCTGTCCCCGAGGCCTTGGCTTTAAGGAACCCATCCTGCAGAGCCCCATGTCACTGCCTTCACTTCATGTTTTTGGGGATACTGATCGAGTCATCCCTTCTCAGGAAAGTTTGCAGTTGGCTAGCCGATTCCTTGATGCCGTCACCCTCACCCACTCTGGTGGTCACTTCATTCCAGCAGCTGCATCCCACCGTCAGGCCTACCTTAAGTTCTTGGACCAGTTTGCAGAATGAAGGCTGGACAAATGTCTCCACACTGCTCCCACTTTCTCTAGCAGCCGGCTGTCTAATGCCCTCCTGTGCACGCCTCACCATGGCTACTTAAAAGACAACTATCAGTTCTCAGGACACACATAAGACCAGAGAGCCTGTGAGGAGACAGTGGTGGGCAAACAGGGGCTGGCACCCCTGTGATTACCAAACAATAAAGTGATGGTTTAGATTTTGAATGTCTTTCTCCTGTTGCACAGACCCTGGGGGCAACACCAAACTAGCAATTACTTGCAGCTGTGAGCCCCCAGAACACATTTTTGGTGGAATTCATTGTTTTGTAGCTTTAAATTCTGCTTATTGTGTGTATGGGTGTACACTTGTGGAGGTCAGGATAACTGCAGGTAGTTGATTCTTTGAACCATGTGGGGTTGTTTTTTTTTTTTTTTGAACTCTGATCATTGGGCTTGGCAAGTCATGCCTCTACCTTTCAAGCCATTTCACCATCCTTTTGTGGGAGTTTACATCCCAGACTGAAGAAGCCAGATATCTTTCCCAGATGACACTTAGCAAGGATCTGCTTGGGTTCATCTGCTTTTAGGTTTCCTACATCTGATCCCTGAGAATTGGGAGTTGGCTTTCTTTTGGTCCCTGGCTTGGTCTTTGCTTTCTCTTCCATAACTGTTCCATCCCCTCTGAACTCTGTAGTACCATATGTTGGATAAAGGCCAAAGACAGCACAGAATAAACTGCCTTTTCCTAATGAACCCATCTGCAGAGTTTCTGAGATTACTGCTATTCATAATTGATGATGCTAATTATTGACGTGTTGAGAAAGCCAGAGCTTAAGTAGCCTGCCTGGCTTAACCTCTTGCCATTTGTCTTCACTTCAGTGACCCAATCTTGCCACACCCATAGGTTTGCTGCTTTCTGACCTCCGCCCCGAAAGGCAGTTTTTCTAAGATATCACAAGGTACCTACTTAGTCCCATGCCACAATATCCTCTAGGGAGCTTAGTCACTGAACACGAGTTGGAGTTGGCCAGATATTCCAAGTCATTCTTCTTACAGTTGCATTTAAGTTACCCAGAGTTATATGTTCCTTGACACACAGGTGTTTCAAGGTATACGTCAGAGAAATGGTTCTGTGGTCAAGAACACGGGCTGCTTTTTTTAAAGAACCCAGGCTCAGTTCCCAGCATCTACACTGTAGCTCACAAACATCTGTATAGCTCTTAGTTCCAGAGGCTCTAATCCCAGGGATGCACATGATATGTGCTTAAAAGTCAACAACCCAATGGCTGTGGTGGTACATGCAGGCAAAGGTAGAGGACAGTCTGGTCTGCCTAGAGAAACCATATTCAAAAAACAACCAGTTGGTTGTGGCACATACCTTTAATCCCAGCACTCTGGAGGTAGAGACAGGCAGATCTCTGAAATTGAGGCCATCTTAATCTACAGATGGAGTTCCAGGACAGACAGGGCTGCACAGAAACACTTTGTAACTTGTTAGTTGACCAAGGCAGAGCCTTGCCAGGTATTCTCTTCCCCTGAAATGCACTCATGTAAAGTCTGATTCAGTTGCAAAGACCTCTGTCTTCTTTAGCCTGGCTTAAGACTTCCACCAACAGACGATGGCTCAGCAGGTAAAGGCATTAACTGCCAACACATGCAGTCTCATACACACTAAACATGATAAAATTTCACAAAAGGACAGACTGGAATTAGACCCCAAAGTCCCATTTACTGATTTTTGGTTCTTTGTAACAAAGCTGGGATGGGAAGTTGGTCTCTGTGCCTTGTTGGTCTTACAGGGATTGCTTCCTTGACCAAAGGAGATTGAGGAGATGGAACTCTATAAACCCCACTGGCTTTGGTCTATTAGTAGTCTTGCTTTTCTGCAAATAACTGATTCTGCAGATCAGTACTCAGACCCACTGCCAGTCATAGGCTGCCCCGTGAGTCGGCTCCAAGCTGGGGAAAAGGATGACTTGCACTCTTCAGTAGCCCTATAAATAAAGGTGAAGTTCCACATGAGTGGTCTTTAGGTCTTGGTTCTACCGGGAAAAAGGGAGGAGAGGGTTTGAGCAGAGCTGTATCAGGTGGAACAGAGAAAAGTGCTCATGCTTGAAGTAAACATCTCTCCCAGGAATCAGAACAATTCTGATTCCTAACAAGTGGAGTGTCACCTCCCACCATGCACTTCAACACTACTATATGCACATCCTGTGGGCCACCTCCACGAGGAACATTTGTTAAACTTGGAGTTGCTAGAAAAAGCTATAGACCTACTTGTCTGCCCCTGGTCATTCCTGATGTAGCTATTTGCAAACTACAGCCTTGGGTAGAATTTTAAGTCACTGGTAAATATGTGCTATTAGGAAAGAGCCTCTAGTGTGACTCAAAACCCTCTGGGGATGAGAGAAAGGAGGTCCCCTGAGGAATCAGTGTTCTAAACATTTGTGTATATCCCAGGTAGATAAGGTCCAGAGGTAGGAATAACATTATTGAGAATTAACTATACCGGACAATGAGACAAGTAGAAGCCTGTCATCTAACTTACTTTTGAGACAGGGGTCTCACTACAATTCTGGCTAGCCTTGAACTCACAGAAATCCACTTATCTCTATCTCCCAAGACCTGGGATTCAAAGCATGTCCCACCATAGCCTAACTCATTTATTTTTGGTGCCAGGAATCAAATCCAGGACCTTAGGCATGCTAAGCACAGACTGTACCACTGAGCTCTATGCCCAGCACCTGTCCCCCATTGTCTAATTTCATGAAGAAAGTACTATCATTAACCTAATAGCTGAGTTTTACAATTGAGGAAACAGGCAGAGAACGGCTAAGTACCTTACTCAAGACTGGATGATTCAGATCCAAAAGCTCACATTCTTGCCTGTTGTCATCACCACCACCACCCCCCATTTTGAGACACAATCTCATATTTATTGTCCAGGCTAGCTTGGAGTTTCTGGGCTCAAGAATTCACTTGCCCCAGCTTCCTGAGCACCTAGAACTTCAGGTACACACTGCTGCTCCTGGTTTTGGTTGGTTTCTCTGCTGTCCAGTAAAAAGTAAGCAAAAACTATTACTCGGTATAGGCTAAATGCCCCAACTGGGCCTCTGCTTTCTAATGTGTAAAGTCGGGGAGGAGCACATGGTTTACACTAAATGCTTTCGAGGACAACAAACACAGCATTGTATAGTCAACCTTCTAATCACATCTTCTGATGGGTTCGATCTGCAAAAGGTTTGTCCTCTCTTCAGAGTAGCCCTGTTATTTGTTTTCTGCATCTTGATTACACCCAGAATTTCTAAAGCTCTTCGGAAGACAGTATCCTATCAGACAGAGTCTCTCAACAGCCCTAGCCACAAAGTATTTACCTGCAGCCTCTGTGGTGGTACTCCTTTTTGGGGCACGTGAAGAACTTGAGTTGGGAATGTATTACTTAGAGACTGGCTGACGGGAAACTGCTGGCTGATACCTTCAGACAATGCATTAGAGACCAGGTGAACTTTACTAGCCTGCCAGCTTCTTGCTGTGTTAAGGACCCTTTTAATCATGGCTCAGAAGAAAGTTGGGGGACAGAGTTATGGGAAGGCTGTGGCTCTATCAGGAAACGGACTCTTTGTCCTTTTCCCTCTGCCTGCTCACCTAGGGTTTTCTGGGAGAAAGGTGAGATAAAACTTCCCTCTCCTCCCCCTTCAGCTCTCTGCGGGCAAAAGTGACTTCTTCCTTCTTACAGGACTCCTGATCCCATCAGTTCACCACTCATGAGATAAAGAATCCTTATCGCAGAACCACCCATTTTCTCGCCACCTAAGGCAGCGATACCTCGACTGGGAAGACAGGACAGTCACTGAGGAGGATGTTCACTCGGTGGCTCTTGCTTCTGTGCCTGAGGTAGATGCGCAACAGCCTGGAAGGCCGCCTCTCTGAGCACATCTCTTGCCACCTCCGCAGACACATAGGATGTTGCGTCGCCGCCCCGCCTCCTCTTACTCTGTATCTGCCCAAACCCAGGCTGGCAGAACTCGGGAGTGGTGGGGAGCGTGGGCGTGCTGCGGGGCGACCATGGCTGTAGACTGTTACCTCCGGTTCCCACAGTAACAATCGAAAGCCACGGTTGCCCTGGAGACGCGGGGGCGGGGCTTGCAGTCTGACGTCAGCACCGCGGGCGGCGTGGGTGGCGCGAGTGTCTGCGGGGCCAGCGCCCACCGCAACCCACGGGGACCTTGGACGGGCGTGCCCGAGGGAGGCGCCTGCGCTGCATCAGCACCGCGGACAGCGGCGCAGGGAGGCGCGGAGGGGCCCGGGGTTGTCGGTCCTGGGGCGGGGCCAGGCGTCGGTGGCCGTGACTGGAGACTGTTACTGAGGGCGGCCCGGGCAGTAAGCAGTCTAGAGCCAAGGTGCCGGCGCGCTGCCCGGGCGGGGATATCCCGTTGCCCGCAGTTGAGAGTGATGCTGCTTCTCAGGCCCCCCCACTCCGCCCAAGCGCGCGCGGACAGACACGCGACCGTGACGTCAGAGTCCTGTGACGTCAAAGATGTACCAGCGGGGAGGCACTTCCGGCGGTGGGGGTAGGGCGGGGCGGCCCGGTCGAAGCCCCGCCCCCGCCTGGTCCTGAGAGGACAGCTCCGTTTGCAGAGGCGGGAAGTCCTGAGCTCAATGGGACAGCCGGATGGGACCGGACGGGACGGGACGGGACGGGACGGGACAGGGAAGGGGCGTGTGGGCAGCATGCGGGACGGGGATCCCGAGAGATCCGCAGGGCCGAGGTGTGCGTCTGTCTGTCGTGGGCGCCCTGGCTCAGTCAGTCGGGGCCATCTAGGCTGAGTCACCGCTCTGCGGAGAGGGGAGAAAATGAGGGGGCGCGTCTCCTGAGACGCCAGCACCTTCCCCCCACTTTCTTGCAAGGATGGCGCAGGAGCCGCTCAGCCTCGGGGAATGGGGTCGGGGGCTCGGTTCTCCGCTGGATGTTTCTCCAGAGTGTCTGCGTCTGCGTTTGGGTGCCGGCAGGTGCTGCATAGGGTTGGGTCAGCCGCCGGCCCCTGGTCCACCAAGCCGAAAGGAACCTTCGTCCCTCCCACTCTGCCCCCATCCTCACTCCGGAGTCACCCTCCAGCCCGCCGCCCCTCCGGTCCCCTCCCGTGGTGTCCGTGCATCGGCCCATCTCTGACTGTCGGGGGGTCCTTACCTGTCGGGCCGCGTCGCACCAGTGCGGGCTCGCCTCCCGCAGCCCGGCCGGCGCCGCCGCTTTTATAGGCGCGCGTAGTACTCGTGCGGCGGCTCATTCATGCGGCCGCGGCTCCTACACACTGACGCGCTGCCGACGTCAGCAGAGAATTTAGGAAACGGGAAAAGAAGCTATTTATAGTGGCAAGCGGGGAGGGGGGGCGTAGGGGAGGACGGGACGAAGCGACAGGGAGTTGGGAGCGGGAGGAGGGTGTGCACGCGGAAGCAGGATTGGGTCAGGGGAGTACGTAACCCCAGGCTTGGCCTCCAAGGGGTTAACTTTCCGGAACTGCAGGCGACGGGCTGGGGGGAGAATAGTGAGGGAGGGTGAGGCCCCATTACGTGTTTATTCACTCTCCCCTTTGCGAAGCTTTGCGAGTCCTAGGATCTCGGTCCTCTTCCCCTGAACCTCAGGGGTCCTCCCTTGACAGCCCCAAACCACACTGCTCATTTCCTAGACCCAACAGCCCTATGACGCCAGAAGATGCCCCGCGATGGTATCACTCCATTTGGCCACTGTGGTGTCCTCGC